TAAGGAGGAACTCGCACGCGAGCTCGGCGCGGACCACTTCATCGATGGTTCCAAGGTCAATCAGGCGGAAGAGCTGCAGAAGCTCGGCGGCGTGAAGGTCATCATGTCCACTGCGCCGAATGCCTCTGCCACGGAGAACCTCATCGAGGCCCTCTGTGTGGATGGGACGCTTCTCGTTCTTGCGGTCGAGCCCGAGCCTATGAGGATTCCCCCTCGTAAGTTATTGATTCCGAGAATGAGATGGGCCAGGATTGACAGCGCTCCTTCGTTCTCAGTGTCGCTGCTGTTGAAGCGCCTTTCCATCAGAGGTTGGCCGTGTGGCTCTCCCAAGGACGCAGAGGACTGTCTGGCCTTTGCGAAGGCGAAGAACGTGAAGTGCATGGTGGAGCGGTTCCCGCTTGAGAGGGCGCAGGAAGCGTTCGATCGCAGGGAGACGGCACGATTCCGCGCTGTCATCATTCCTTGAAGAGGACGTTCCGCTGTCGACGCTTCTGTCGGCCAAGTTCCGTACGTTCGCTTTCGTGTGCTCGGTGGGATCTGATTCTCTTGATACAGTTCTGCTACACTACGCTACTCTACACGCGATGCATTCCACTAGTCATACATGGACCACCTCTTCCCTTCTTCGCGAACGGTATTTATACAATCTGGACACTCCAGTACAGCATAAACGTATGGCCTTTGGCATTGAACACCTGACGCCCGAATCCTTCAGTCAGCTTGGCCTGCACGACGACACGGTCCGCGAAGTCTTCGCTTTCGACTTGTGCGAAGACTTTCTTCCACAGGCGGGTCCAGGATGTTTCTGAATGTCCGTACCGGTTCCTGCAACGAGTTATCTCGTTACGAATCAAGGCACAGAAAAAATGAGATGACTTCCGTACCGTCCGAGATGATCGTCTATGTATCCCTCCTCCTGGAGACCCTGGTGCCGTCCAAAGACGACCGCTCCGGGCCGTCGCTTGAGGAGCGTAGCGAGCCGAACTGCCAGTCCATACTGTGTCTCCTCGTCAAACAGGTGGAACAGCGCTCCGGTATAGATGTGCGTCAGCGAGCCGCGCAGCTGCGCGAGGTCGGTGACGGTAGCTGGGGTCGGCGGAGGCGGAGTGGGGTTGGTGTCTGAGTCCTGCACGGTGGTCGGCAGGTCGAAGGCGTTCGAGGTGAAGAAACGAATAGGGCATTTGTCTGCGTCCCCGAAGAGTTCGTACCCGAGCTGGATGTACTCGGGGCGGAGGTCGCAGCCGAGGACCTGAGACGCTGGGTAACCGTCGTACACCAGCTTCCGGAGGTCAGTCCCCACTACACAGAAGCCAAAGCATGTCATCTACATAGCGCGATAGATAGGCGCATATACGTACTGCAGCATCCGAGGTCCAAAAAAAGCGTAGTACCGCGCTTTCCCGCCTCGAGTACGGTCGGGTATATGGCGTTGCGCGGCATCATGAGGTTCACGAAGTGGAAACCGCGGATGCATGGGTACGGGTACTGTGCGCTGCACGATGGATGCGACTCAGTCAGCCTTCTTCTGCACTCGAAGGCCACCAGAGCAGAAATCGCACTATGCTCTGCGAAGGAAGGTATAAGCTCAGCTCGAACTGAATGGTGACCCGATGCAAGCGGGCCAGGGTGATTCGCTCACCGTTTCTGTACATCTAGGATCCGGGCTCTAAGCTTCTCGTCGTCCTCTGATATCACTGCATGCAGAAAGGCTCTTTCCTCATTGGAGAGGTTGAGCAGGGACGGATCCAGCGGTGGGACTACGGAGGGATCGACCTGGCTCTCCGGATTGACCATGATGATAGGGGCAACTGTCTCGACAAGACTTGACAAAGTATAGCAGCGAAGAGTTCAACAAGGAGACTCATAATAGGTGAGCACTAGATTGTAAGTACAGTGCTTGAATCGGGATCGATATTCTCATGCATTCGAGCGTTACGGTCGGATTGAGGTGACCACGCGCGTGCGTGTATGTACACGTCTGCGCGTGCGCGTGAGGGCCGAAGTTGCGACGGCGTGTGTGAGAAGAACGCCATTGTAGGCGCTTCAGCCGCTGCCACTCTTATGCCAGGACCACCACCACGGCCCTCCAGCTGAATGTTTGGTTAACCATAGTCATGCAGGCGACATTGTGTGGTCGCGCCCGCGCGTTTGAGTATTATCAGGAAGCATCCAGACCAGGGTGATGTGGAGCCTTGTATGCATGCAGTATTCGCGCTGGGCAGCCTCACACTTCAGCAAGTTTCTCGGAAGCCTTGAAGCCTATGCTATTACGGGGTCGTCTGCCCGCCGACGTGGGCGCGAAACTCATCAGCCGTGGACAGAACATATTTGGTACGCACATATCATTGGTCCTAGTCCGCGCCAACGCCGACCGACATGCAGGAATAGCTGCGGTATTCTGGGCGTACTCCGGTCTATGCCTCAAATACATGCTTCTCCCGACAGATGCGACCACGCGTGACCCCTGCGCAACGTTCACGCGTCCGAAGGTGTACTGGAGAACTCTTCTCTCAGTGACATCCCAAGTCTCGCTGCACACAACAAGGTGATGACCGCTTAGAAACTACCGGGCGCGATGACCTTCGCGTACACACGAACGTGCGCCGATCCAGTGCTTCCATCAAGAGCTTCAGTAACGGGTACCTACGCTCTGAGACCATGTGGCGCGCACTGGAACTGTATATAAGTGCGCGCTGGGAAGAAGTGGCTGATCCCCGAAACGAGGATGAACGGCATCACCATTGCGCTGGCCGTCGCGGCATTACTCTGGCATGCCGTTATCACGCTGGGTCGCCCATTCGTGCGACAATCGTCTCGCAAGGAAGCCGACCCCTCGTTTGCCGTCAACGTGAGCTTGGGAGGCAAACAGTACGTTAACAAGGTAAGAGCAGTTCCTCGCTGCTCAAGGCGCATATATCCAATCTAGAATACAGGGTCTGGTTGCCTTCGGCTTGATACCATCGAACTTCAAGGATTCGACCGGTGTGTGATAGTATGCACCAAGAGATCGATATCGGCGGTCTTATTGCTTGCCAGGGGACACGATTGGAGGCATCGGTAGCGCCATCGCATTCAAGAGAGGGTCGTTTGCCAAGCAGCCCAACGGCTCATTCACTGGCACCATCATCGCTCAGCCTGACAGGGGATTTAACATGTGGGGTCAAGTCCACCTTCTCTCGTTGATACATCTGACTGACAGCGGAGGTTCCGCCTCTTAGCGACGGCACAATCGACTACCAAGCCAGACTGCACCAGATCGACTTTGTGCTCTCACCGTACTACGATGCAGACGATCTCCCCTTTGAAGACGCACTTCAGACCTTCCAGCTCAGTTACCGGGATACGCTTCTCTATACGGAGCGAGAGTCGCAGAAAACGACCGGATTGGATGCTCTGGGTGTTCGTCCCGGGCAACCGCTCGAACGCCTACTCACCATAGAGGATCCGCCTCTACCGATAGCGCCATTCAACGGCCACCTAGCAGTCGATGCCGAAGGTCTCGCACTTAATGCTGATGGAACGTATGTACGGTCTCTTCACTTCCGAACGCTTGCTCTTGACACCGCCCATCCATGTTCAGATTCTGGGTCAGTGACGAATACGGACCCTACATCTACCTGATGTCGCCCGAAGGCCAGCTCATCGAGACCGTGCAACCACCGAAGGCGATCCTGCCTCTGGTGAAGGGCGCACTCAACTTCACGTCAGACACAGACCCGACAACAGGACGCGCGGGCAATCAAGGTAAGTGTCCTTCTGTGACGTGTTCCTCCTGACTGACAAAATGCGCGTGTCACTTCAGGTTTTGAGGGTCTGACGTTGGATGCAAGCGGTAAAACTCTGTATGCTCTCCTCCAGTCCGCAACCATTCAAGACGGCGGCTCCGACAAGTCTACATCTCGCTTCACGCGTCTACTCGCGTACGATGTATCGGACGCGCTTCTTGTCCGTCCGACTTTGATTGGCGAGTGGGTCGTCCCTCTCCCTCAAAACAAGAAGGGGAACACTCTGGCCGCCAGTGAGGTCCATTTCGTGAGCGAAGGCGTCTTCCTCGTCCTGTCGCGTGACGGAGACGGCCATGGCGGAGATGATGACAACTCTTCGTTCAAGTAAGCTGTCAACGATTTTCTCTTTACGCACATGCTCATTTGGTACAAGACAAGCCGATCTTCTCGATATCACCAATGCGACGGATATTCATGGCACGAACTTTGACGACCCCAGTCGTCCGATTGCCAACGACGGGAAGCTCGATAAGAGCATCACGCCCGGCACGTATGTGTCGTTTGTCGACTTCATCGACAATACACAACTGGGACGCTTCGGCGTACATAACGGTATGCCGCATTCTCTTTCCAGCGGTGCGATGAGATCTAACTAATAGACCATCACTTCAGGCAAACCCGCAGACCAGACGCTGATCGACGCAAAGTGGGAGTCCCTAGCGCTCGCGCCTTGTCTGGACCCCGATTTCACTGATGACTTCTTCCTCTTCACGGCAGTATGTCATACACACTACACCCCTTGAGCCGTGTCTGCCGCTTACTCTGAATACTTAGGCCGACAACGACTTTATCAGCACGGAAGGCATCGCGCTGGGCAAGCCGTTCAACGCGGGATTGGATAACGATAACCAGTTCATGGTGTTCCGGCTGACGTTGCCCGGCGCTTCTGTGCAGGGCATTTCACGCTTCCCTTGAGTACTCTGGGGTGAGTGTGGTACTAAGACGTCGTACTGTAGCTGAGCCCCCCACCTGCAGGCGCTGACTCGGAGGATACCATATACATCGGCAGACTCGGATGCTATTGGGTTACAGTATTACTAGTCCCGAAGGACGGCCACACGTAGTTTTGAGAGATCTTTCAGGGGCTCTTCCGGATCTTGGATTGCCCTTCAGATAACTGGTACCAGTACGTACTGTACACGTACTGTACACTGTACAGTATTTTAAAGTGAGAGCAATCACTCTCATCCGTGTCGGAGCCGTCGATACAAAAAGTCCTTCGAGCCGGGTTCGAACCAGCGACCTTGGGATGACTCGTGTTTGAGCCCAGGGTACCCTTACAGTCCCACGCTCTTCCAACTGAGCTATCGAAGGCTGCCATCATAAAACTACAGAATTAATAAGTATATTGCGCTGTTGAGGTTGCTCTCGTTTTGCTCACTTCTCTTACGGCAGTCTCCGAGTTCCCAATATGGAACCGATGTCTGGAAGGTCTGGGCACGGTTTGGCTTCGAGCCCAAGCCTTGCACAGAACCGCCAGGATGCTTTGGCGCTGGCTTGTTTTACTGTCGTGTGCCAGGCTGATCTACTCCTTGTCGTCATCGAGCGATGGGCAAACTACTCTGAAGCTTCAGAGCAAGCCGGGCCATGGCGTTCTGAGACGGTATGCTCTTCCGAGGATCCAAAGCCAAGACTGGAGCATGGAGGATTTGCTGCGCACAGTAGAGGTCGATGTTCCAACATTCTCCGCGGGACAATATCTGACGGACCTTGCTACGCTGATAGGAAACGGATGTTCATGCCCACGTCTGGCAGGTGGGGTTGTCTCATGCTGATATCTACTTCGAGGATCCCAGACAAAGTCTGGACCTCTCGATACCAGAAGTAGGGTCGATCGCCTTGGACGACCTGGAGGAGTTGCACTTCTATAGGAAGGGATGGAACCTCAGTTCATTGCCCAATTCGACGTACCACTCTGTCTATCATCCGTTGTACGAGGTAGAGGACTTCATGCAAGAACTGGCGAACACCTACCCCACCACAGTGGAACTCGTCAACCTCGGGCACTCTGCTGAGAACAGGGAGATGATCGCGATGCGCCTGTCCAAAGGCAATGATGGCTTGAAGAGGCCTGGTCGCTCCTCTGCGAGGAAGAGCGGGTTCGTCATCACCGGTGCTCAGCATGCTCGCGAGGTCAGCGAAGCCACCTCATGACACGTCCCGCCGTGCTGACTCGCTCTGCCATGGTCATAAGTGGATAGCTACGTCTACCGCACTATACCTGGCTCATGCACTGGTCGCGGACACGCTTGAAGAGTTCGCATTATCGTCCTGGTTGGACTACTTTGTGAGTAGAACCGGTCCGACAGGAGCGCACCATGTTAACTGCCTCGTGACAGGATTTCTACATCATCCCTGTACCGAACCCAGATGGATACGTCTACACGTGGGATGAGGACCGCTTGTGGTAAGTCTTCTACGCGTCCTAAGTATGGGTCGCTCTTGTGGAGATATCGACTGTGTTATCAGGTACAAGAACAGGCAAATCGTCGGCCCTGCTGAGAGATGCGTGGGGATCGATATGAACAGGTTTGTACACGTCCAATTCTTGTCATTACCCGCTATTGACGAGTGGCTCACAGGAATTGGGTAAGCTCTACGCTGGGACCGTGTCGACGCTCAGCTCAAGCCTTCGCATTCCGCAGGGCTACAAATGGAAGTCAAAGTCCCGGCTCCCTTCTCTCACTGATGACAACAACGACACGGTGTTGTTTGATACGCTGGACGCACTTGATGCGGACCCCTGCTCGCCATGGTATCCTGGCCACCGTCCATTCGAAGCCCCAGAGGTCAACAACATCGCCAACTTTATAACCACCCTCCCCTCACTCAAGGCGTACATCGACCTCCGGAGTTACGGTCAAATGCGTACGTTCATCACTCATAATGTAGTCGCGACGACTGGTTGACGGAGACCCCGGAATGCAGTGTCGACACCATTCTCTTACTCATGCAAGAAGATACCGAAGGATGCAGAGGACCTGCTGGAGGCCGGGCTAGGCGCGGTCAATGCGATCAAGCAAGTTCACGGCACGCCGTTCACCGTAAGAGCGCATATAGTCACCTTCCCAGTACTCGCTAAAACCGTATACAGACTGGGAGCTTGTGCCGTCAGCTTTACAAGTGCACCTTTTCCATATCTGTCCCTGATACCATAACTCATGTATGGCTGCAGAGCGTCCGGGAACGTCGTGGATTACATGTACGCCAAGGCGGGGATCAAGTACTCATACTCTGTCCACCTGCGCGACACCGGCACGGTAAGCACCCGGAGCCCCTCCAGAATGCTCGACCCTCACGAATGGTTACAGTACGGTTTCTCGCTTCCCGCGGAGTGGATCCGACCTGTCGGCGAGGAAACTGCGAAAATGATCGATTTCTTGGCCGGTTTCATCTCTGGTAGGAACAAGAAAGGTGGGCTTCCTCTCTCCTCAACTGTGACTCGCTGTGAAGAAGCTGACGGTTTTGCGACGTCAGTCTGAAGCGTCTGCAGCTCTCGTCTCGTTAGCCCATGTACATCCTAGCCTTTGATGTTGTTCGTGTACCAATAGTAGGTCCCATCGTGCTCATGTACTACCTGTATTCCCTGAAGATGCATCACACCTTCGTCCTATCGCGCTATCCCGCTCCCATCCAGAAGAGGGGTGATGGTATATTGGGGGACTGTAAGTACTGTCACGATCTACTCTTGCGAACACAGCACGTACGAAGGATAAGTATAATGCGGGAGCTAATAATGCAACAATGCGGGACGCACGCCCGTCCGAACGTCCGTGAGAGAGGAGGGAAACGATAGATGCATGCATGCTACATAGGAATGAGATAATAATCACAGGAAATCAGGACGCCATAATCACGCCGCGACGTGTGCGCTCACTCGGGGAGCGAGCCGTTCGTACGCTCATCAGCATGGCGCGGCATTCAGTTCGTTCGTTCGTCCGCCAGCAAACGTGTGCACATCAGCACCAGCACCAGCACCAGCATACATCGTACACCACACGATCACAGAGCGTAAGACATCGTTCAGGAGCCGCGCCCAAGCGCACTCCGCCGCCGCTCGTCGCTCGAGGAGCCGATCTCGGGGTCCATCCGCCCGATCACCTCCTCCGACGCGATACTGAACCCGCTCCGCGCACTCCCTGTCGACGCCAACCTCGGTCGCACATACGTCGGCGGCGGCACCCCCCCTGCCGCCTCCACGTCAAACGGAGGCGTCGACGAGGCTGCGCCAGCGCGCGGGCCTTCCAGCGGGCTCTCCCGCCTTGCACCCCCAGTGTAGGAGATGGGGTCAAGCGGGCGGCGCGGGGTGCTCCCTCGGTCTGCGGAGGACTCTGCGCGCGGGCTCCCGCTGGGCTCGCGCCTACGGCTCCCGAGACCCTGCAACGACGCGAGGAAGGTCTCGTTCATCTCGCGGAGGCGCTTGTCCACTGCGGACTCGGTCGCGAGCACGGGATAGGGCGTAGACATCGTGCGTGTGCGTACGGGCGGCGCGACATCGTGCTCGCTCGACTCTGACTCCTCGCGGATCGTTCGCTCGCGTGCGTGTGGCGAGGGACTGGACGCCGGTGAGTCGTCGCGCCTGCTTGAGAGCGGCTTCCGGGCGTCGATCTCCTGCACGAAAGCGGAGATGTCGTCATCGTCCGTGTGCGTGCTCAGATATGACGTGCCCTGCAGCAGCAGCACACCTCGTTCAGCTTGATGCTCTTGAGTGTGATGCTGAAGGCTACTCACCGGCACCTTCTCCATCTCCTTTGCTGCGCTCCTGGGACTACTCCGCGGGCTCGCCTCTCGACTGCCAGTCGCAGTACGCGGCCCGAAGCTGCTCGTGTACCTCCTCCCCTGCTGCCGGGGTGAGCCTTGCAGCCCCGCCGACGCAGGACTGCCAGGAACACCCTCTCCTGAGGCAGGCGAACGCCCGGAGCCCAAACTTGATGGCGCGAACGTTGGGGATGGCCGGAATGGCGCCACTGGAGATGACGCCAGATTGCTCCCAGCACCTATGGGAGATGGCGGCACGCGCGAGGACGTCGGTGACTGCACGGGCCGAGATGGTAAGGAGGGGCCGCCCGTGGAGAGCGGTGAATGCTGGCGAAGCGACGGCGACGGCGAATGGAGAGAAGGCGAAGATGAGATGGTGGACGACTTGAACGCGTTCACCGTAGTGATAGGCGTGCGGCGTATAGGAACACCTCCTGGCGTCGTGCCATCCTGCTGTAGGGTCGTCAGTCGACGTTCATGAGTTCGTGAGAATGAGGCCACATACGGAACTCCTGCCCTGCATGCTCTCGCGTCTAACGCGAGCTGCCAAAGCGGACACTTCTTCTCGTGAACCCATAGAACCTGCGCCTTGCCGCGACGAAGATGAGTCTGACACGCCGGAAGTGCCCATGCCTGCCCCGGAGAGGTTGCGTGTGACAGGAAGCGGGATATTGCCCAACCGCGGACTTCCAGCCGGGCTGGCTCGCGCTCCCTGCATCGAGGAGAACGATGTGGTTCGTGTATGTGTGGACGGAGGAATGACAAATCTATCTGCAACAGAGCGTGGGGGAGAGCGAGGAAGCGAGGTGCGTAGGGGGAGGCTGCCCGGCGAGCCTGAGATACTGTCCCGCTGCTGGTTCTTGACCAGAGTCGGGGTGAAGTCTGGCCCCTCAGAGAGGAACCGCGAGGAGAGGAGCGACTCCTTGGTGTCCAGCTGGAAGTTGGGGTACGTGAGGTACGTCGCGGACACGCCGAGCTCGCCCATGGGATGCGTGATCGGGGGCAGTACATGTCGCTCGCTCTTCAGTACTGCAGCGACAGATGCGGGGGTGTTATCTGGTTTTCGAAGCCTCGGTTAGGCGATCGTTCTCGCGGGGCCGGAATGTGTACTTGGGTGGACGCAGAGTGACTCACCGAAGCTCAATACGTCGTCCGCGCGGATGCTTCCATCAGGGCTGTCCACGCGCAATTGAATGCTGAAGTTGCCGTTCCGGCTGCCCCCTACTCTCCTGCGGAGGCGGCGGGCGAGCTTCCACGCAGGCAGGACTCGGAGTAGCGTGAAGATGCTGCGGAAGAGCGGAATGCCGTGCTTGTATATCGTAGACGGCGCGACGTCGATCCGATCGTCACTGTCATGGGACCCCGCCTGGTTCGGGACGAACTCGAGCGTCCAGGACTCGAGGACGATGTAGCGCGGGGTAGGGTCGATGCGCACGCGAGACGAGTCAGGAGCGTGGTAGACGAGCACCTGGTTGGTTGCTAACTCCGGGACGCAGAGCAGGACCTGAAGCTGGAACAGGGGGACGGAAGGGGCAGACGAGATAGAGCGATAGATA